ATCTATATACTGTATGCATTTGTGTAAAACTGTATTCACCATTTTTCAAGTATTTCACATTGTGTAGAATGGTGTATTGAAGATAAACAGGAAATATGGAAGTCAAGAACTTTTTAATACCAAATTGCAGCATGTTATATCTAAATGAGGTATCTTTTACAAATGAATGAGAAATGTAGGTAAAAGGACTGAGTAATATGAAATAGAACTACTCAAACATATTTACGGCATTATTTTTTACCAACTGAAATTAAAAATTTAACTGAATTTTAGTTTGTAACAGATGTAGGACAGATTTTGGCAAATGGCCGTATACTTCCATCAAATTACAATGGATACTTATTTTGATATATTTTTATAAGCAGTTCCTTAATTTGTTAAAGTGCTTATATCCTAATTTAAAATATACATTAAAAAGAGTGTTTATATCCCTCTATATTAACACCATATGTTGTTTTACTGGAATTTTCAGGTTGCCATACAAAAGACTCAGAAGAGGGCTGGGGACATGAATTCTATTTTAAAGACAATTAAATATATACACATCTTGCAACAGTACAATAAATAAATATGAATACACTGAGTAATTGTTCCTTTGAACTAGTTTTGAGATTTCCAAGTGGTCACCTTACTGGCTTTTCTACTGGAAATCAAGAATTGTTCTTAAGTCTCAGCGTGTCAGCAGATCCTTATAGCAACTCTAACGAGTTTTATTTTAATTACATATTATATTAAGCAGATATTTCTTTTTGGACTTGAAATAGGAGAGACAAGAAAAGACTTGTACCTTCTGTGTTTATAACTTTTTACCTTTAATCAGGCAAAGACTAAACCTGGAAAAAATCTGCTCAATATATCTTCTAATATAAATCAAGTTTCTAGAAAACAGGGACAAAGTTTCAGGGGGTGCCAGAAACGTGAATTCTGAATATATCCAGGGGAAAAGCACGTTTTAATAGGTCGGCGGTTGAAACTTGCAGTCCGTAACGAAGAAAGGGGGGAAACATCGACCTGAGTGAAGTGTAACCAGCACAACGCGGCGGTCCCTCAGAGACAGCCGTAGTTCATGCTTGGCTTTTATTGCGAGTTATGTAGAAGAAGAAAAAAAATGTTTTCTTATCCTCATGGCCACGCTCCCAATGCAAATTTCGGATAAAAGGGCAGTGTCAACCATGCCTGAAGAACAGAAAGATCTAATTTATGTTAAAATGTCTCGTGGGATAGATGGCCTGTTTCGCTCCTACTGATGGCTGGCAGTTCGCGCTCCTCAAGCAAGGAAGCGGGGGAGTGGCCAGGGGTCTGGTGGCAGCTTAGGCCTCAAACCCCGTCATTAAGCCCGGACGGAGGCGAGGCAAAGAACGAAAAAGAAACGGAGGAGGCTTCTGCCTTCATGTAAGCGACCCTTCAGAGGTTCGCACTCACCGTTCGCCCGCTTCAGGGCGTTCTCGGGCCGCTGGAAGTAGACCGGCATGATGGCGGCGGCTTCTCCTCACGCGGCAACGAGCCCTAAGAAGCGCCCAGTCAGACAGCAAGCGAGGCCGGAAAGGGAAGGCGTCACGTGACGCTCACGCAGGAACGTTCCCGGAAAAGAACTGATTAGACGGTCCCTCTGTGACCCCCGAGTTAAGTGCGCATGTGCAGAAAGTTCAGGCTGTCACCGGGAACGAAGACTACCTCAAAGGCGGTCAAAAAAGGGAGGAGGGGGGAATGGTGGAGCTCTGAATTTTATCTTCATTTTCAGAGGACGTTTGCTTGTTACTTTCTACTTGGTGAACTTGGCTTCAGAATAACTGCCTGGGGATTATTATTCAGAATTGCACCTCTGCATTTCTTGGGACTGGCTTCTTCATAAAAGTTGTTTCCGGTTATGGATATTAACCTGCCTTGGCCTAGACCAGCGTCTCTCCTACCATTTACCAGCATGATTAGGGAAGAAGGCTTTGATTCCTATTCAATAGGCTAGTCTTAACTAGCCCATAAATGGCTGACTCGGAACTATGACGTTACATTGATCATTGTATGCAAACATAGTAATTATGGTTTGCAAAATATGAGTGATTGTCTAGTACATTTGGAGAACCAGACCACTGACAAGAAATCAGTTAAAGCATGGTTTTGTGTTATTTAATAATTAAAAAAGCTTCATTTCTAATTTACTGTGATGCACAATGGTCACCCACAGCTAGAGTTTCCTTGCCAGGATTGCACTTTATTGCAAAAAAACAATTTTAATTTTCAAGGTGATATAATGTATTTTGTTAAGCTACAATATAACTACTGTGTATCTAGTGAACAAATCTCAGCTATCTATGGATAATACTTAATCAAAACAGTAAGTTCATGACCTAAGAGTGCTGAATGAACCCAACCACAATATTGAGAAAATTAATACCTCATTTGTCTATATGCTTCAATGTAAATGAAACTCTGTAATTAGGATCATAAATCAGGGCTGTCAAGTGTACAGAAAGTCTGTTCATATTCAACAAACACGTAATATCTTCAATTTGTTTGCCACTTAAAATCAAATGCTGAGATACATAGGATGATGGAGTCAGATGATGTGCGTATCACAGTATGCAAAGATGGCATATTTGTTTTACATGGCAATGCAAATGTTTTTCTCATGCTTCTCATGCACGTGAAAAAGCAATTCTAATTATTTCAGAAACTTGTATATCAGACTTAAAACATCTAAAATCAGTATAAATAAAATAACTCAATGATTCTTGCAACATATATACCTTTATAAAGATAACCAAAAAGTTAACATAAATTGAGATTTATCTAGTATGCTAACAAAATATGGCTTCATGAAACATTAGAAATATGACAGGAAAAAGTTTACTTTTAGAAACCAATTTGGCTAGATGAAATTCCAGTAGGACTTTATTTGCAGATTAGCTTCCCCAAATCTCTAGATCCTAAGACATGGGTTTTAAATCAAGTTCATCAAACTTTACTAGACTAATAAGTACGCTGAAAGCATATATGCATGCCATTTCAAGCCATATAAATACATACATAATGAACAGAATCTTTCATGGTGCCTGAGGCATTGTCTTACCATGTTACCTAGTTCAGGTCTGTGACTTCTGAAGAAAAATAGAGTAATTTTAGTTGTTGGTTGTCTTTTACTTGACCTGATCCCTATCCTTTTTAGCTTGTAGAGGAAGCGGGGATGGTAATGACCACTCAGATCTGGGAAATTGTTCTTGCAGGAGGGAAAGCTGCTGGGAACACAGGAGGAAACTAGAGTAGATGTCTCCTGAAAAACCATCCCTGGACAGATCTATCTTCAACCTTCCTTTTGGGTTTTTTTTTTTTTTTGAAAACGGTGGTATTAGATCAAACTCACACCTGGTGAACCTAAACATCTTTTCATTCAAGTTTGGACCTGCCTTAGGAGAGAGGACAGCATTAGTAACTCCTGGAAATCCTGAATAGGAACATGAATAGGGTAAATGTACCTCTACTAGTCTTGCTAAATTTGATGGCTTTTGATAAAATCAGCCATAGTAGCTTTAGACTGGAGGGTTGGCAGTTCAAGGTATTTTTCTGTGATGAATCTGCTCTTCCTTAGTGGATGGTTCCAATTTATGTTTAGTAGAAGAAAGGTTGGCTTGGAAGTCCCTGACTTGTGGGGTGGCATAGGGGTTGGTCTTGTCTTCCCTGATTAACATTGATATGAAGATGCTAGGAGAGATTATTGGGCAATTTGGGGTTGAAAAATACCCCCCAAAACATGTGAACTATATTTAGTTCCAATCCTGTAAAATGCCTGGACCCATGATTTCACCAGGCTTTTGTCTGACTCCAGTTTGTGCCTATTGCAGCATTTCCTGAGCAGGAGGTTGTGACAACAGTAACATGTCCTTATTATTACTGTGTAGACTACTGTAATGTACTCTACTTGGAATTGCCCATGAAAAATATTTTGAAACTGCAGTTGGTTCAAAATGCAACCTCTATACTTTTAGGCAGCCAATACCAGGAGCAAGTGACATATTTGTGGGCCCTTCTTTGGTTGTCAGTTGGTTCCTGGATGTAATTTACAGTTTTGCTTTTCTCAGGCCATCTAGCAGGGAAAATCTGCAAATCTGATGCTTTCAGGGTGCTAAGTCAAGCAGTCACTTCTTTTCAGTAAAAAAATGCTGATTATGTGGGAAAGCCACCCTAAGGAGATCAGACTGAGTCCTGGTTTTTCATAAATACAGCTTTTTGGATAGCATTTTTTAAAAAAAATTAAAGTTCTATTCTGTGAGGAATCCTTGAGGTCCAATCTCATTACAATTAGAAAGCTAATTAGAAAGCGTTTAGAATCTCATTCTGGAACATATTAAAATAAAACTAGGCAAGAGATTCTATGGCAGCCCTTTGAACTCCATTATGGAAATACCAGGAATAATTTTACCATGATCTTTAACATGTTAATTATCAGAAGCAATAAACCCATCTATATAATGTAGTTTGTGGAGGACAGTGTTCAGTCTAGCTTGCCATTCAGGTCCTGGTGGCCATGGTTTGCCTCGTCCAAGCTTCTTGGCAGAATTATTGATGTAAAGGCAAAATTAGTGCTTATAATTACAACTGTGAAAATTACTCGTGAAAGAATTGATGAGGGGGAAGTCTCCCAAAAAGTTGATATCGTCACACCGAACAACTGCAGCTGAATAAAAACTTATTCTCTGTTTCTCTGGAGAGCAGAACTTCATGGAAGAAAAATCTGATCAAGCCGAAAGGGAAGATAAGCAGTAAGAACATTTTAGCAATGACCCAAAGAAATGTTTAACTGAATTGGATCCTCTAATACGAATTCCCCATTAAGCAGAAAGGTGAACTAGACGACTTTCCGAATCACGCCGACTTTTCTTTCCACGCCTCGCACCGCAGTGCTGCTAGGAAAAAAAACATTTTCCTTCACTACCAGAGGCTTTAAAATAAACCGTGTGTGTGTGAAATCTCGCGCCTCGGCTTCTTCTGTAAAGCGAAGACCGAAATCAAGCCGGAAGCCGGGAGGCGTGTTACTCCATTATTCTCCCGCTATGAGGCCCATGATGGGTCTCTCAGGAAACAGAGGAAGGATCCTGGCGCTGGGAGGAGAAAGATGGCAGAGACGGAGGCTCAGCTGCTTCTGGGCGTAGGTTTGATTGGTAAGCGCGTCTCCGTCCCTGGCTGCATGCTGTGGGAATGTCGGCTGAGGGGCAGAGCCGGTTAACACCCCTCGTTTCCCCCCTCCCTATTTCTATTCCCAAACGGGAAAATTGTGTGTTGGTGAAGCGGGGGCGGGGAGGCAGATAAGTGAACGGGTCTTCCTTTTCGCCTCTTTTGCCTTTGGTCGGCGATGCATGATCCGACAGGATTGTTGCACTCTTTCAGCTCCGTCTATGCCCATACAGAAAGAGTAGAGAAGACTGGGGGGAAAGTGGGGGGAGGGGAAAGCACGTCTTTGTATGCTCCCTTATCCTAGGTATAGGAATAAGCGAGCAGAGGAGTATTAATTCTTCTAGGGTCGTTCTTTTGACTATCATCCCTGTTCTGAAACCTCCTTGCCTTTTAATAAGTACAGCACCTGGGCCACCGTGTGGAAATTAAACAAAAAACAAAACGGTTCAGGCTCATACTTGCTTAATAGTGACAGGAGATCAAAGCAAATCCCACGGTGGAGAGTTGAAAAAGGAAATGCTCTGGAAGAAGGCAGTAACAACCCTACTTCTGTATTATTGCTAATGTAGCCATCAGAAGTTGAACTTGATTTAAAGGAGACTTTACAGGCAGCAATGTACGAAGTTAAAATAAATCCAGCCACTTTATAATTTAGGGTGGTCTCTGAATTTAGTTATTGAGTTAATTACTGTATGCTTAAATAGTGGCTCTGAATGTTGAGTGAACTTAGTCACCTGCATCCATCTCCTGTTAATTTACAAAAAGGCCTTAAGATAGCCTCTAATTTGCAAAATACCCCTATCTGGTTATCTAAAATCTCAATTCTTTTCTGAATGGAGAGTGGAAAAGTAATAGAATGCAGTTAAGATTTAAATAAATGTCGCTTTCCCCATATAATGCTGGTCATAGATAGGCTATAAAAATGTTCAGGATAAATGTCTTAGTTTGTCACCAGCACAAATACTAGATCTCCCTTAATGTGAAATTATTCTTGAAACAAGGCTTCTCTTAGGAAGCCTTTTTTACCATCATTTATCTCATTTCACTTAGGGAAATCATAATGGGAAAACTTAACAAAGTATTGTTATTTAGCACATTCAATGCAGGTGCTTTTTTACAAATTCTAACAGAGGAGATTCTTGCTATAAGAAGAGTACAGTGTAAAGTTTACAAGGTAAATGGAAATGGCAAGGAAAGAGGAAGTCTAGACAAGGAAATAAAGTTTGTGATAGTTTTTAAAGTAAACGTGCTTTTAGCTAAAATATAGGATTTGCTGCTTTGGCTATAGGCCAAAGAGATGTTTAATATTTTAAATAAAATTGTTCCAAATTAATATCACATTGCAGATTAAAATACATGTATATATATTACCATAAATCTGAGTTAATTTCCTGAACTATGAAGACTTGCATAATAAATTGATAATTTTAAAATGTATAAAAGTGGGCATTAAGTTGAATGCACAATTGGATCTGATTAACTGATCAATTTACTCCCTTGCTGCTGTTGGCATTCTCACAGTGAACATCTTTCCACCATAGAAAAAGATACCAATGGAGATGCTCTGTGGGTTTGGTGTTACCCTTCTACAACGACTGCTTTCAGAGACCTCTTATTGAGAAAATGTTGCCTTACAAATGAGAATAAACAGCTTCACACTTTCCTATTTGGTCAGTACAAACTAACATGGTTTTACATTACAACCATGGAAATTCCAGAGGCTTCTACCTTGAAAAGGGTAAGATTGAAATTTGGAGAAAGGGGACATGACAGAAAGATCTTATTTGTGTATTCATTATTTTATTAAGAGATTAATTGGATTTTATGTCTGCTGGTTTCATAAGATAAGGGATATCCTATCAATATGCTATATCTAGACATATGATAACAAAAGCAATTTTGAAAATTGTGATAGAAAAAAGTAACCATGTTTTTATGTTTGCATTAACTGAAGTTAAACTGGATGTTTGCATAATATTCAGGATGTATTGGTCTATAGCAAGTATCCATAGATTTTTCAGTGATATAATAGACTTAATTTATTGTTTGATTTAAACATGGAGCTGCCTAGCTCCTGATGATGCTCAGTGGTTCAGAAATAAAAACCATGAATAATTCTGAGCATCCTGAAGAAACACAACAATGCCCCAAATACCCCAAAGCAAAACTGATACCCTATCCCTAGGCCTAGGAGCAAAGCCATGTTTTTGGTGACTTCTGGAACTCCATCGAGTTGGGAGCTATACAGATCCTCAGGGGAATGCTACTCGAGACACAGGCATGACAACTAAGAAGGCACACAGTCTAGATCCCAATAAATGGCATTGCTTCATGAGCCCTTCAAAACCCTTCAATTAAACAAGCTGCCTGATCTTATTAGGCAGGCAGAACTATTGGAGATAAGCAGTTCTTTAAGTAGTTCTTATGTGACACACAGTTTTATAGATGACAACTAGTACCTTGAATTGCATCCAGCAGTCAACTGGCAACCTATGCAGCTCACGTCATGGTATACTTGTTCATCCCTGCCTGTACTGTAACATTCTGGACCAACTGTAGTTTCCATGTGGCCTTCAAAGGCAGCCTCATGTAGACCATGTTTCAGGTGTTCATTCATGAGAGGGATTAGGACGTGAGTGACTTCTTGAAGGGCCTTTCATTCTAGGGATGGGAAAAAACAATGCACTAAATGGACCTGTGGAAAGGCCTGAACTTTTAAACAGGCCCAGATAGTTTATTTCCCTCAAGATCCTCTGCAGTCTAACTACTCTCAACAATCTTCCCCACAAGTCATTGCCCAGATACCACAATTGGACCTTCCCTGTCAAAGTCCAACTCCTAAGTAGATCTAAGCAACTTTCTTTGCCAAATTATGTCTCCTTTCCAGTTGTTTATATTATTTTACAAGAAAGTATTTGGACATTAACTTTTTTTTGTATGTTTCATAGGTGACCCACTTTTCCATTGTTCTGACAACCAAAGACTTCAATCCAGAAAAGTATGCAGCTTTCTCTAGGATTCTCTGTAGGTGTGTATTGCTTGATACATTTACTACAACTGCATGATTTATTAGCTAAACCTTTTGCGTAGCAATGTATGCCCAATTAAGAGGTGAAAACATTTCTGAAGGGATAATTACCATCATAATAATTATACATATAATTACTGATTATTTCAGGTGAGTAAAAGGTTTACTAACACTGTAAAAATAACACATAATAGTATCCTACTAGCAGTTCTCACAGGAAATAAACAAGTTGAAGTGCATTTCTTTTGAAAAGTAGTTCTATCATAAGCATATTATTCACAATAAATCTAGCAAGATTTGTTTTCCTGCATGATTTAGATCATGTTCCAGCTGCATGTAGAACTTCATGTACAGCAGTTCGATCTGATTATAGAAATAAATAAAAATAAAATCGTTTTTGGGAAAACAGCAAAAAGGGAAATAGAAAGTAGATTTTAGACAGTTACAGGGCTAGATAGACTTGAAAGAATATCTCCTGTGCAGTGTTTAAAAAATTACAAAATAATATAGGAAGATGTTGAATTTGTAAGAAAACCTCTGAACGGAAAGTTGTTGATTGGGAAATAAGACAATAAGAGAAGACTTGTACAATATTAGAGGGAACCAAAGAGAACAAAGGAGGAAGGAATACTGGTCACATTATGGGGTTTAGTGAGTCTTGCAAAAAAAAAACCAGCAGTGGGGGAATGTTTGCATGGGTTAAAAAAAACTTTTTGCATGGGTTAAAAATTCTTTTTGGCCCAGATTATTGAAGCTCAAATTATTTTTCAGAATATATCTGAAATATGGGACCCCTGTAAAAATGATGGAGAGTTACATTTCTGTTCTCACAAAGGGGATTTGTCAGAGTGAAGAAAATGGTTCTTTCCTGAGCAAAGATTTTGATATAAGAAAAGCTTATCTTGCAGGCTCAGTCAAAGGTGAGATTTTTTTAAATAAAAAAAAAATCAGTAATACAGTTCAGGTTAAAACTATGCATTCTTGAAAATAAACTCCCTTTCTTTCAATGAATTTTATTTCCAAGTAAACAGACCCTGAAAGCACGACAGCCACTGCTTTCGAAATACTGGTTGTGCTTAGTTGCATCACCAACTTTTTCCTCAAGGCTGACATCAGCATAAGAGGATTCTTGGGAGTCCCAAGAGTTTTTCAAGGCCTGCTTTGGGTTTCCTCTTTTGTGTCCTCTCCCTCCAATGGTGAGAAAAATAATACCCTGGCATAAATCAAATTGGTAGGATGGTTTTTAATAAAAGCCAGTTGGCCTGGCTTTTATTAAAAACTCAAAAGCAAAAAGATGTAAAAGATACAGAATGTTTGTATTCTTAAAAAAAAGTAAGATAAATACCAGGTTCACATATTATTAGTTGGACACTGGAGCTTATAAACCATGGCTTGGCATGTTGGGTAAATCTAATCAATTGTGAGTTAAACAAGCCATGACATAGATGTAATACCAAATTGTATTTTGATATATCTAAGAAGTATTCTGTAAAAGCTGAACAAATTTTGCCTCTTCATAAAAAGTGAATTTAAGTAAATTATAATTGTTTGTATAGTTATGTTCTTAATTGTACAAAGTTCTATTATATTAATATTCTGTTTAACTTCTGTTTGTCCTAGATATAGTGTTTCAGTTTGGAATGGAAACAGTCATCCTGTATACTGCGCTCATGTTAAAGAAAAGAATTGTAGTATATCATCCAAGAATAGAAACTATCCTCGAATTTACAAGGTAAAACACATTGATGAAATAAAAGGTATTCCTTCACTTAATTTCATTTTCAAGTCATTTCATTTGTAATATGAGTCTTTGCATTTCAACTTGGAAGCTGTAGGGGCCTGGTTTGGTATCAAAATTTAACAGTGGTTTAACTTTGTATTGTTTTTAGAAGCCAAATGAAAGTCCAGTTCAAAAGGGGTCTTTTATTTTACCCTTCCCTCACCTTCAGTTCCAGGATGTCCTTAATGTTGATTGTACTGCTAACCCACATCCTCCATTACCATGTAGTTCAGGGATGTCAAACTCATGTCATCACATAACGTATCGTGACTTTTTCCTGCTTTGCTAAACCGTGGATAGGCATGGCCAGCGTGTGTTTCATCCGGCTGTGAGTTTGACACCCCTGATGTAGTCAGTAAAATTAATTAACATCAAACTTTTCATAACACATTGAAGGAGATATCTTTGATCTAGTGATCTGTTGTGGGAAAAATAGAAAAGTTCAATATGTTCGACGCCTTGAGTTACTTGTAAAAAATAAATCGTTGTATAAAAGAATGCCTGAATAAAGTAGCATCAGCTGTGGAGTCCTTGGTGCTCTCCGATTGTTGTCCTGAAGAAAATTCAACATCTGTTGAGGTAACATCTTCAGTGCTAGAAGGGAATGGGGTTTGCTCTCTGTACATATAGTAGTTTGCGCTATCAGTTTTGGTGGAGGTATTGGATCCCCCAATGCAGTTATTAAATGCAATTATGATTTATAACTAATCCTAATTTGACAAAACTGTTCGATACACCATTGCATGAAATGAGTTTGTTTTGAAACAAGCTACAATCTATTAAGATCATTGGTCCTATTGAATAGTGTCAAAGTAATCTCTTTGTATCCACTATTGTGTTTAATCATTTTGTAAAATAAATGGTGATTTATAGATTCTGTAAAAGCAATACTCAACAGTGCTGACATCTTCAAAACATTTCTTAACACTTAATGTATTTGGTTTTTGTAAAATTCCAGTTTTAAAGAGAGTCCAGAGTATGCCTTTTGGCCATGCATCCATCCATATAGTATATTATAAAGAAATGTCCTTCCATCTTTTGGATGACTTACTATCTATGGCTGAAATTATGTCATATGATTTAGAGTCCTGATGTCCTTGTAAGCTAAACAAAGAACCAGACCAGTTAGTGCATCCTTTGAGGAGATGATATGAGCCATTGTATTAAAATAATATAACTTTTTTTTTCTTTTAGAGCATTACCAGCCTTAGTGTGGCACCGACAAGATTGGTCAATTCTTCATTCATATGTACATCTGAATGATGATGAATTAGAACCATTAAAAATGTGTCCAGGTATTACTGATAATGGATATCAATCAGCATTACATAGCAGAATGACTAAATTAACTTCTATGGTAATAGAAAAAATAGTTGATCATTTATTAAATCTATATAAATATCCATGTCATTATGGGCAGATAACATATTCAAATATTATAAACAATATTAGTAAAGGGTCACTGCTATAATCACTGAGGACAAACAATTGACTAAGGCTCAGATGTTTGGAAATTGCAGTATTGGATAATTCCTCCTATTTATTGCAAAAAGTTGGAGTTTCTTGTGGAATAATAGAATATGAATATAGAATTCTGTATCTATTTATTAGGTAAATCCCTATGAAACTGGTAGTTGTCCAATGTTAACATGCATGTTTAAGACTATAAAATTAATAAAAGTTTAACCTTATAACCTAAATAAATTTTAACCACCTTAAATTAATATAAAAGTGATGGAAGAGAATGTTTGTAGGTCAGGTGTAACTCTGGGGTCCTTGATACTCTGAGTTTATTTTCTTGAAGATGTTTCATTACCAAACTATATAATACCATCAGTGCTAGTAGGGAGTGTGGTTTGCTCTCATTTTATATGCTAGTGGCTTGTCCTGTTAGGGTTGGTGGGAATGTTCTTGGTGGTTCCTTGATTGGGCTGTTTGTCTGCCTTGGTAATTCCTTGCTTGGGATATTGTTTGCTTATAAATTATTGATGTAGTATTAATCTCTGTTTATCTAGGTTTTGATAGCTGATGAGGCGGTCTTTTGGTTTGAGTCACATAAATCGGCTATCAACAGGCACCTAGAGAAAAATATCTACATACCATTCAAAAGAGATAATCCAAAAACCAAAAAGGAAATAAAAAGACCAAAAGACCTCCTCAGATGAACTCAGCACCCAGATGAGCAGAGATTAACACCAAGATTAGCATTACGTCAACAATGCAGAAGCAAACAATATCCCAATGAAGGAATCACCAAGGCCCCTCCCACCAATACTGACAGGGCAAGCCACTAGTATATAAAATAAGAAAATTCACTCTCTACTAGCACTGATGATGGTATCCAGTTTGGTAATTAAACATCTGCAAGAAAACAAGCCAAGCTCAGAGAGCATCAAGCACCCTATATTAAAGTACTTCTAGTGAGAATGCTTTTACTGAAACATACTAAAATCTTTTCTTATCAGGATACATTGCTGGATGTATAGATTCAGAAGTGAACAACAGGATAGATCTTTATGATGTATATGTCAATCTGGCTGAAAGTGAAATCACCATTTCGCATCAAGCAAAAGGTTTGTAGTCAAATGTCATCTACTTTCCTCATATACAGATATATAGGTGTTTTTGTTTGCATACAGAATATGATTCTGAGCGGCTCACTACATTATAAAATAATATGTCAAAAATATCAATTGTATCTTCCATAATTGTTAAAAAAAATGATGCTTTACTCCTATTACATCCAAGTTCAAACTGGTTTGTGACATGTTCAATTAAATTCAGGGGTGGGATTCTACCAGTTCGCATCTATTCGCTAGAACCGGTTGTTAACATTCTAAGCAGTTCGGAGAACCAGTTGTTAGAAGAAATTACTGGCCTAATCCTGTAAGGAAGTCAGGAAGGAAACATTCTGGTGTTGCTTACAGAAACTCTCCGTTAACCCTTATTACATTCTTGGCAGGACTAGGCTTCCTGTCTCAGGAACCTCTCTGGAGTTTTTTCCCCTCCTTTGCTGGTATTTTGCTTGTGTGGAGTGACCATTTAAAGTTACAAGGGCACTGAAAAAAGTGACTTATGACCATTTTTCACACTTATGACTGTTGCAGCATCCCCACAGTCATGAGAGGCCAGGCGAGGAGATGCGTGCCTCAATGTGAGTGATATTGAATTGCCCACACCCAGCCAATAACATGACCACCAGGCCATGTCCACCCAGTCACATGACCACCAAGCCACACCAACCACATGAGCCATGCCCACAGAACTGGTTGTTAAAAAATGTGAATTCTACCCGATTAAATTCAATCTTTTTCTAACAATTCATTTCCCAGAATTCCTTAAAAAATAAAGAAGGCCCCTTAGATTGATGACTAAAAAGAACCAATTCTGAATAAATTCTGGAGCAAATCCAGAGATAAACTATGATTATGATAAATTTACCCCCAGAGCACTGGGAAAATTCTTAAAAGTAATTGAATTTATGAGGTGCCTAAGGCCAAAAGTCCTAATTGACCTTTTTCTCCCCTCTGGAGGTCACCCGAACTGACTAGAGGTAGTTCTCATTTAGCAACCACAATTTAGACTGGCAATTCAGTCACTAAGTGAAGCAATTGCTAAGTGAAGCCACAGATGTATGTATGATCTTACTTCAGTTTTCCTTTGCTTTATAGACCTGCAAAGGTTGTAAATGTGAGGATTGGTCGTAAAGTTACTTTTTCACACACACCTGTGAACTGTCACTAAACAAGGACTACCTGTAGTATCACACTGACTAGGAAGTGATCTGATCATGAAAAAGATTGATGGAAATGTCCCCACTTTCAAACTTGTTCCCACTGCATGGAGGTAAAGACAAGATGTAATACAAGGCTTCCTGTATGAATTGGGCTCTGATCTCCTAAGGCAAGCTCATAATTGTCGTGATGGTCATGAATTTCAACACCACACCCCACTCCCTCAGGACTAATATTTTAAGGAGTCTTGCACCAGCAGTGAGATCAAACAGTTAGGCAGAGAACAACTGGACTGCAAGATGAGCAATATGCTAGCAGAAATCCTAACGTTCCTCATGGCCGGCCAAAAATATATATAACTAATATCCAGTCAGTGTACCTGGATGACCATAAAGATCTCCAACAGAAACATTACAAGCCACCTTCCTTGGTGTTATAGCTGCTTGGCATTTAAAAGCTACCAGCCCTGGATGAGAACAATTAAAACTTGGACCGCACGTTTTCTGAATAGTTTTTATCCCAGATCTATAATTGCACTTAACAATGAACTTAAAGACCACTATCAGTGAGCTGTTGGGACAGTATTTCTTGGACTGTTGTGTGGGTGCTTGTGTGTTTTTAGGAGGCAGGGAATTTTGGCGGTTGGAGAGGTGTTTGGGGATTGTCATGTGTGTGCATGTTGAGTCTGGTCTATGGGTGTTATGTGAATTTTGTTGTATGTATACTATGTATATAAATACAATGACAATAAAGAATAAACAATACAATAAAGCCCAGAACAAATGTTTTTTGATAAGGAAACATCTGTTTTCACCTAACCAGCATTTAGTTTATTCGCACCAGTTCTACCTTGTACCTAGGTTATGGAGGAGCATACTCTTATTACTAGTATGAGCAGATTGAAGCCAATTTGGCATCTAGGACCCTAGGATAAGGCCAAAAGGCAAGAAGAAAAAAATAATGTGTAATGACATTCTATAAGATTTCTCTTTGCCCATTACTGTTCTAATTCTCTTGTTCTCAAGTCTCCAGTAGTCTCCCAAATGTGTGAGGTGTTGTGGAAAATTTTGATATCCTCTTCTATGGTATAGTGCACTCCTGTTCCAATACTCAGAAAACTGTTAACGTAACATGGAATGAACCAAGATGTAAGCTTTTAGTGTCAATGCTAATTTCCTGACCCAGACACATGGAAAAAGATAGAGAAAAATACTTATTTAAAGGAATGATTTGGAAGAATTAAAAGTTGTTTTGCTAACAGGATTTTCATTTGTCTAGTTGGATAAAAGTAATGCCACCACACTGTTCTTTTCTAATTGGGAGAAATGATGCTACTGTACAGAAGCCGAAATATGGATCCTGAAAGAGAGCAGAATGGGGGAATTCTATCAGTTCAGCTCTATTGTTAAATTACAAAGCAAAACTTTAGCATTGTCATTGGAGTATGAAGAAATCTTGATGTAGAAACGTGGGGCAGGGTGGTCCTTTGTATAGCAGATATGTATGTATGTATGTATGTATGTATGTATGTATGTATGTTGTATGGCAACGTGGTCTTTTGACCCAAATTCTGCTGTTGTGATTGCAGTTGTTTTGGAGTTATATATTTATTTTCATTTATTTATATAAACAAAAATGAATGATGATGTACTTCTCTTTCTCCTCAGAGGCGATGACAATGGGAAAATTGCATAAAGAACTTGGTCAGCTAATTGTTCAGTCTGCAGAAGATCCAGAGAAATCAAACAGTCAAGTTATAAAGGTTAAGCTTCTGTATTATTTCAGTCTTTATTTTCATTATTTTGTTGGCTAAACTACTATGCTCCTGGTTTAGAATTAAGTATTTAAGCCAGGGTTAAGATGGTTTAAATAACTGACTGGGCTCTGGCAAAACTTCAGGCTACATGTCTTTCTATGGAAGGCGGAGAAGAGACCAGCTTTTATTTTAAAATAAAATCCTGCTGTTTTAAACAAAGCTTGATAACATATCTGGAACTGAAATTAATTTGATTTAAAGCAAGCCATTGTTCCTTGGATCCATCCATAATGTAAAACTGTTAAATTCTTTGTACATTAAATTGGAAATATTCACCACCTTAATTTAAATAAATATGTGAGTCAAAAGTTGAGCAGAGCTGGTTACCCCTTGTTAATCTGAAGTAGGAATGAGTCATCTATGACTTCAAAGTAATTGTTTTTTTCCATTCAATGAAATATCCTTTGACCATATTTGCCATTTTTTACTCCTTAATTTTAAAATACATAAACCTCAAATAATATAATTGGTTTTAGATAAAGACAAAGAACACTTAAAATCCTCCGAAACCTAAGAGAAAAAGTCCTAGTCCTGCCATGTGCATGAGACGGCCTCACTCTTTTTCCATTATTTTCCTGCTTATCATCTTGATCTCTCAGCTTTTCAGAGGATTACAGCCAAACACATACTTAAACACACAGGTCTCCGCATTTGATAATTTATTTCATTTTCATTTAACTATACAGGTAGCCCCTGGCTTACAATGGCAATTGGGATTGGAATCGCAGTTGCTGTCAACATAAACTGTAAAGTATGATGTCACAAGACTGTGTCACGTAGAAATTCTCACAGTCCCAATTCCATTGTTAAGTTTTAACCATGCAGATCATTAAGTAAAGACCTCGCATGACTATGCCTTCCAATTTCCTGCCAGTCTACTCATTGACCTTTACTTGTGGGAACATCAGAAATCATGACTGCAGGGATGCTACAACAGTCAGACTCCAAGCACTCAACGTAAATACCATTTGTGCAGTTACTATTGTAACTTTGAACGCTAAATGGACTACCTTTATGCATTACCTGCAACACCTTACACCCCATTTTCATGATAAACAAATACTGTGCACTGTATACCATACACATTTATAGCCTGTGGCATCTCCAAATAGCACAGAAAAACAGCCTTGTCAAAAAGCTGTGTATCTATCCATTAAGCATCTATATACAGATAATCTGAATTCATGTATCACTTTTAGCTATTTACATATGCTTCTTTTGATAAGCCACAATTGTCAGGGTATGTGCAGTATTCTAAGACTAATTAAAAAATTATAGCAGTTGAGTTTATGTAACATACCATCTAACACATTTCAAATGCTATGCATAAAGCTAGACATTGTGAGAGTCTGTATGAATCCACTAGATTCATATATTGACAAGTCAGAACAGTAGCAGTAATATGAAATTACATAAACCTAGCTTAAATATTCCACTAGTATTCCATCTCAGAAAGCATCTATAGGACTTGGCTTACTGTTATTTATTTGTATCCCACCTTTATTGTTTTTAACAAACTTTTATACTGACCTAACATAGGCTGATACATATCAAGAGTAAGAGGAGCTTTTGTTTTTAACCAACTATTTCATGTTTGCTCTCTTTATTCTAAAATGTGTCTGCAGGATGTTTCATTGAAGACAAAGGAAATCTTGACAAATCTGGCTTCATTCACAGAAGTCATTCATGATGGTGAGAAGCCATCACTCAACTTAGAAGCACTGAAACAAAAGCGATTCCCACCAGCAACCGAAAATTTCCTTTATCATTTGGCAGCTGCTGAACAAATGCTTAAAATATGATGTTGTAAATAAACCTCAATGGAATACTTAAAAACAAAATCTTCTTTACCATAATGCTTACATAAAGAATTCTGTGGGAGATAGTTTTTTTAAAATATGCATTTCTGGAGAGGATAAACAATGATACAGACTTGAAATTGCATCAAATTGCCATGAAACATTGACTATAGTATATCATTGTCAGTTCTTCCTGCAAAGGCCTGAAGATAACAATGGTTTGAGCTGTGCATTAAAGTGAAATAGTAATTACCAAGCCCAATCAGTACCCTAATGGAAATCAAAAATTGTTAATGACACGAACACTTTTAGAAGTACACAAATAAGCCTTCTTCAGTTTGGCATCTCCAAGTATTGTGTCTTGTGAACACAACCCTCAAGATTCGTAACAGACTGCCCCTATTCCAGATAGTCTTAGCACATCCATAACTTGCAAAGAGGCTGAAAGTTAGAGCTTCAGTTACATCAACTAATACTCTAAACCTAGGAGTCTATGGAGATTGTCATCCAGATCATGATTGTCCGAAAAGAGCTTTTTCAAAAGGACACTGGACTTTCTGGTTTTCCTTTGAAGACATTTCAGAAAAGCTGAAGCAGCTTCTTGGGTGAGAAGTAAAATGTTCAAGTTGCCTCTTGAAAAAGTATCTTTGGGTCTGAACCTAAGAGTTGTATATGCAATGTAACTTCCCACAAGCAATCCATGGATGTTTGACAGATTACATCTATTGGCTATGCTGCTAAATATTCAATGTGCCTGCTAGTCATATCTTACATAGGTGGATTTGGGGATTTTAGAAGAAGAGTATGTACAAGTTTTTGTGATGATGAATCCTGATTGAGTTTGGGAGCTGTTTACTTATAAAACAGTCCTATTGAATAGGGCAAATATGTATACGAATAAAACCAGTAGCAGCTGTTTTTAGGAACACAGCTATAAAATTCTTTTTCTCCTTTCCTTCAAAGGACCAGGCGGTTTAACTCTTTCCTCCTCCTGTTTTTCTTGAGCTATTCCTTGTGGGTTGTAAGATGTCAGCATGTATCTGATATTTTGCAGAATGAATATAGGACTGGATTTTTTTATTGCTTAAATTTGCCTTTCCCTTCAATAGCCATGGACATTATATATACACATTTTTGTGAGGTTTAGCTTAATTCAAAACTAACTATTATAATACTAAGAGGTTTGTAAAAAAATAAAAATAAAACTAAAAAATCTTAACAGTGGAGCCTATACAGTAAATTTGCTTTTAAATTGACATTTATGATTCTTGCTTTCACAAATATATACCCTTGCATATGATTGTAGACTTTTTTAAATTAAACACACTTATTTCTACTAATATTTTATGAAGCACTGTTTAACTATGATCAATTATGTATACTAGCAATATTGAGAATCTTGCTTTTGATTTATGAGTTGCATATATGTAATACAGGAGAATGTGCAATTATGATAAAAAAAAAATCTAAATTAGGATATGAATATGACCAGGGCTCCTCCTATTTTCAGGAATGTGCCATTCACTTTTGTACAAAAATATATGATTTTAAATTTTTTAAAGCAACGTAATTTTATATGACTATTTTTTTCCATGATAGTATTATCTTCATCGTCAACGTGTGGATGAAATATGGAATATTTCCCTTATCAATCAGCATTTAAAATCAATACATCCTTGTATTTTTTTACAGTTAACTATAAGAAACACACACAAAAAGTCTGGCAACTTGGTAGCTCTTAGAAAGATGGAGAAGGCTTTGTAATCAAGCCCATAAAAGTAAAAGAAAAGTAAAGAAATTCTTTAAAAAAAAAAAAAAGATTAATTTATGCATTTAATAATTGGCTCCAGTTTTGGGTATACAAGAAAGGGACTTCTTTGTAAAGAACTGTGTTTCTATGTCAGAGGTGTCAAACTTGCATCATCACAGTGACATCACATGATGTACCACAACTTTTTTTCTCTTCACTAAACTGGGAGCGGGCACGGCCAGCACATGATGCATCCGGCCCGTCGGCCATGAGTTTGACAGCCTTGTTCTATGTCATAACAAGTAGCAGCACTTAGCTAACATTCACCTTAAATAGGTCCTGGCATTGGGAACTCCCAGGAAAGACAGGGCTGTACCCCAGACTTACAGCAATCCTGGGAAATAGGCTATGGACTGTAATAAGGACTAAGTCATCAGTTAAATTAAGGGTTAGCAGATTAGAAGAGCAAGAATATAGACCAGGGCAGAGTTTATTCTACAGTATATAATTAATTTGATTTTAGTTCCTGTCTCTTCTCCAGAAGCCCTGAGCAATATACGCAATACTTCTTTTTCCAAAAGGAATATGTTGGGCTGAAAGAAAGAGTAGGAATAGAAAATCACAGTTATTTTCCATGGCTGAAAATGGCCTTGAATGTGAGTGCCCTCTGCTCCAATCCAACATCTCATTTTATTGCATAAGTTCTCCTTCCATTAAAAAAAAAAAGCTATAGTAGTCAAATTGCAATGCAATTTTGCATTTCTAGATAAGAGGTCTGTTTCTTGAATAACGGCCTTTTTATTATTGGGACATAAGTTGATCACAAAACCAAATCCTTTCTGTACAGAGAAGTATTAATAAGAACATGATTATTCCCCATTCACTTCCAATTAGGTTCAGTTTTTTATTACAGTTGATTCAAAATATTTCAGACCAACTTTCACCTTACTACCAGAATTCCTCTTTTATGCATAAAAGCCAGCTTCATCATTAGAAGAATGGCACTCCTAGAAAACCACCCAGGTGTCCCATTATTAAACTCCCCTATAAAAAAAAAAAGTTGTTTCTTTAGTGGAAGAGACCAGATCAGGCTCAAGCTCATTTCGCTTTATCTGAAAAATAAAGAGAACATTTTCCATTTTTTACTAGATTATTTTAACCACTTGGATCCACTTCTGTACAAAGACATGAGTTACAGAAATCACAGGATGTTGAATTTACATCAAAAACTCACGTTGCTGTCTCTGAATTAGTAATGTAGAAGACAAGTAGGCAATCAATAATATAAAATCTTGGCAATTTACAAGAGAAAGATGAGTCTGAATATTAACAAAATCTGGGGAAAATAGTATAATTGGATTGAATTAAGACAGATGGAAAATGAAGAAATTTAAGATAAGCAATTTATAGATTAAATGTATATATTTGCACAAATTATATATATATTTGTAAATATGTACAAAAGATAGAATTGTATGAGATTGATGTCACAGAACTGTTAATGTAATGATTATCTTTTTGTTTTTAAAAGACAAAAGACTAATAAAGTTTACTAAAAAATAATAAAAATCTTGTCTCCTACACTGAAATACCTCCCAAATCCTCTGAAATCAATAGAAATGTTTAGGAAAATGTGGTAATATGCTACATACTGCAGTTATATTCAAACTCTAAAATCATGTAAGTACTTTCTATCTTCCTTTTTTGAAAGAAGTTACATTGGTCCCCTATTTGATCTCTACAAACGTTAAACTTTGAAAATTGTGAACATCTCCATGCAAGTAGTCCTTGATTTAAACAGTTTAGTGGCCCTTTAAAGTTATACTGGCACTGAAAACGGGGACTGTTGGTCACATGACCTGTTGTAGCATCCCCATGGTCACATGATCAAAATCCAGCCACGTGGCAACTGATTCATATTCATGACGGCTGCAATGTCTCAGGATCATGTGGTCACTTTGTTAAACCTTTCACAAGCAAAGTCAATGGGGAAGCCAGATTCACTTAACTGATTTACGAATTAACCTTACCAACCGTGGCAAGAAAGATCATAAAGTGGCCCAAAATTTACTCAAACACCATGTTACTAACTTAACAATTGCAGTGATTCACTTAACAACTGTACAAGAAAGGTTGTAAAATAGGGCAAAGCTCACTTAGCAAAAGTCTCATTTAGCAATAGACATTTTGGGCTCAATTGTGATTGTAAGTCAAGGACTACCTGTATTTCAAATCCAATCCTTACAGTTTCTGGGAGTTTCCATGCTTGCATCACCAGTAAATAGTTTTTACCATTTTACCATTTTTTACGTCGAGACCCAGCAAATATAACCCTTCTGTTTTTTCTCGTCAGGGTTTATATTTTTTGTTCATCTGCAATGCCATTTATCCCTTTGATCTACCCGATTATTGACAGAAGCAAAGAAAATGAAGCATACGGATTACCTCTCTTAATTGTGGAGTCCAACTCAGTGAGACGGGCAGTATTAACCAACAGAAAAAATATACCAGAAACCCTCTCAAAAACATTGACTTTTGTGGGAAAAGTCTTCTGCTGTAAAAGATTGTAAAGGTATGTTACTACACAGCATGGCACTGATAAACCTTTAAGATGTTTGGAATTACTGACTTAACAGTGCAGAAAGAAATTTTTGCACCTGCTCCCCCCAAACAGAAAACCATTGATAACCTAGACTCTTAGATGGATAAACAGAAACTTTCCACAGCTAGATTTACTCTTAATTATTATTGTCTATGGAGATTCTCAGTCATCCAGGTCATGGTTGTCCCAACGGTGCTTTTTTCCAAAAGGCAACTGGACTTTCTGTTCGTTTGTTTTTCTGAAGATGTTCTGCTTCCCATCCAAGCTTTTTCAGCTCTGACTGGATTGGTGGGGAATGGAAGGATTTATACTCCTTGCAGACAGCTGGTCATTTGCATTCTTTTAGCAGGTCATTAAGGCCACCTGGAGGTTTATCTGTGTCATCAGGGACTGTGTTGTAGATTGGAGATAGATGATGTCATATTCCTCCCCCTCTGTTGAGAGGGCTGTTCCATCTTGACATAGATGGCCTCTTTAACCCCTCTTTCAAACTAAGGATCCTCTGTCCAAAATATGGACTTTGTTGTCTTCAAAAGAGTGGCCCGTATCTTTTAAATGCAGATGGACTACTGAATCTAGTCCTGATGTGTTTGTTCTCTTATAATGCGCCATGTGTTTATGAAGTGGTTGTTTTGTTTCCCCAATGTAACAGATCTCCACATGGCTCACTGCACTGTATTGCATATTGCATGTTGCTCAGTTTCTGTCTGGATGTTTTATCCTTGATGTGGACAAGCTTTGTCCTTGGATCCTTCCATTCCCCACCACCCAGCCTGATGAAGCTTCTTGGATGAGAAGGGAAACATTTTCAAAGAAAAACGTAATTATTCTTGTTATTCTGACTGCCAAGCACTATAGGGAGGATGGTGATACTAAATTCTAATAGAAAGGCATGGAATTTTCAACTCCTTGGTAGTGTGATATTTTTATTTTTATTGTTGTTATTATTAATAATTTATTTATTAATAATGTAGCCTAAAATTTGATGATTTGCTGCCAAATATTGACAGTTTAATAGGTGGGGGTGGGAACTGCAAAAAACTCTTCCAGATTCAGAGCACAGTATGACATCCTGAAAGCATGACCTATAGAAAGCATTTTAGAACAACGAATATTTTTCTTTTCTGAATTCACCATATAGAATCTCTCGTTTTAGGCTGTAATTGTTTGAATTATAGCTCCACAAAATTTGTACAGAATGAGGAAGTCCCCTTTATTTTTTTTAGCACTCTTTTCTTGGGAGACCCTACAGCAAATTACAAGAAATGAATAATAAAGCATCACCTTCATAAAAGCACCAATCCTTGAAAATGAGTACAGGATTTGAAGTTCATTTTAAAAAAGGAAACTACAAGAAGAAACTTAAGAGGTTACTTGACCCGGAGATATATTGTGATCCTTCAAAAGACTAAATGATCATGTATGTCTTCAATTAGCGAATGAAGACAGCATTAATCTAGTTGAAATTTGGGAGAGAATTTCATAAAAGAAGGCCAATGCTGCCTATTAGAAGGTTTACAGCTGACCATTCTAAGATGAACTGAAAGGACCTTTTCTTTATTTTAATGCTCTGGATTGAATACTGATAGAAGTGATCTTTTAAATCCAGGGTGGGGAATAATGGCCCTTTTATAGCTTGTGGATTTCAACTCCCAGAATTCCTGAGCCAGCCTTGCTGGAGAATACCACCATGGAAATTGTACCTAGTAACCAATAGGTGATCAGAGTTAACTGGATTGCTAATGTTGACGGCTGTTCTTGTTGCATCAATCCAAAGCGAGATCACAATCTTAACAGAATTAATAGCCACAGTTTCTGAAAAATTTCCTGGAGTATTCAGGGGTACTTCAGATTCTGTAAACCATATAAAAGACCTTATCTGGTCCTGAATTCTTCTAGACAAGATGAATCAGCAGGCAGCTCAAATCTCATTAAGAAGTAATTAGACCATATTCAAGATGGCTAACAGAAGCTTATAGTTCCCCTATCATGATATTATTTCATTATGGATAATGGATATTCTCTTCTATTTGCTTTTTTCCTGCTTATTTGGTTGAAGAAACCTAGGTATTTATCTTACCGATTTATGAGATACACAGAAGTTTCAGAAATAACCACGGGCACGCCGAAGAGTATACCTCGGGATAATGCTGTTTCTCTTACAGCCTGTGCAGAAGGGGGGGGAAAAAAACCACACACATATATATACAGAAGTAAAATTAGAACCACAATATATTCAAATATCTTAAGAGCTTGCATTTTCATGAATCTGGATACTCTATTTTTAATGTTTTTGGCCTTACAAAGAGCCACAACAAGTATGTCCGATTAATGTGGCCAGTGCTGAGTATTATGGGCAACTTCTTGGAAATTCTGGATGGCTAGTAGAATTGAAAATCAAAGTAGATGTATCACAAAACTTAATGCATCGATCAGTTCAGCAAAATGTGAATTAGGAGTTGCATATCTCAATATTAAAGAACCAGTTTTATCCTAAATACAAATCCATTAAAATGCTGCTGAGGCCATCTTCGTCATAATGAGGGCTACCAGAATATGTGTTTCCATTAGATGAGTTATATGTCACAATGACCTTGGAACTAAATGAAAAAAAATCACAATACAAGACAATCCAATCTTCAAAGCCATTATGGACTTAACAAATGGACAATTGCAAACAAAGCAATTAGTCTTACTTATGATTATAGAGCCTGGAAAGCCCTGTAAAACAAAGGCCCAAACCAAAATTTTCCCCTTTGGGGGGAAAAACACACCAAATGCATGTTCATAAGGAAATTATGGTAAATAAATGATGGGGGGAATGCTACTAAATGTAAATATAAACATTTAGAACAAAAAAATAACCAGGTTGGATCAGATCAAAAGCCTATCTAATCCAAGAGCCAAATCAAAATCCACAAGCATAATCACATTTTCCACTTTTATTTCCAGCAGCTCAAACCACCTATTGCCTCCTTTTAATAGAAGTAATGCATAGCTGTCATAGTAGCTTTTGATATGCTTTCCTTCTAAATGACTAATATCCCTGTGATGATTTAATTTAATTGAGCATAGAAGTGTTTAGTTCAAATGGAATAGAATGGTGGAAACCAAGCCAGTGGAAACATATGTTCCTTCACTTACTTTTTTGCCTGCCACTTGAGACATTCCAATAACTTCACCCGTGCTACGCATGACCTTAATTCCACTCTCACGTTCAAAGTTTCTGACTGTGAACACATTGCATGCACAGAGAACACCTGAAGAGAACAGAAGAGATCAGGCTTTGGGAGAAATGTAAACAGGGATTATTAGCCTTAACTCTCAATTCTTGTGATAACATTTATGTTAGCAAAGCAGAACAATAACTTAATTTGTGGCAGATATTGTAGAATTAAGCACAAAAAGTAATGCATTGTTGCTTAAATTCTGCTGCAATTGTTGGAGGCTCTTCCAGAAATTATGATTTTGATAATCAGTTGGTTTATGCAGAAACTGCTGAAGGTTTAGTTTCCAGTGTTTACTTGGCTCATACTGAAACTTCAGCCAAACTGACAGAATTTTCTAGTATTCTAATTTTCTTCATAATTTTCTGCATCAGTTTTAGAAAAAAAATATGGATGCACCCGCAGAGAAATGGAGGAAGCAATAATATGATGTATGTAATGTACAATAATGCATAAAAAACAGATAAGAATTACTGGAAATTTTGAAAGGTGACCTCCTGAATTAAATGAAAGCCCCCTCGCCTTTTTATAGAAAAACCTGGGAATTAAAACAATTGGGAGCTTGAAACTAATGGATTGTAAACAACTTGTAACTACAGTTATTTCAAGGAGAATAGACTAAATTTATTCCAGGTATGAATGAGAAATTGGAGGCAATGCCTTTGAAATTATGTTATCAATTCTACATAGTTTCTTGTCACTGAACTTCAGGAGGGAATCAAAGAAGTTTGTATAAAAGAAGGCAATCTTTGGGTAGGATGGCCAAACGATGGCACGCCCATAAAACATGTTAAGCCTCTGCCTAAACATATTTCATTCTTTATTAATAATAAAAGTAGATTGGAATGTAATCACTATATTATATTTTACCAACCAACAGAAATCTCTTTCTTGACAAAGACCACTTTTATCAAGCAAGGATCAAGATTTAGAGGTAAATCCAGGACTAAGAATATTACATCATGTGATTTGGTCCTGCCTTATTATTGTCACATTTAGGGATACTGTGGACAAAATTGTTAATATAGCTCTGGAATGATTATCTTCTATTAAAGGAACATCTCTAGGAAATATGCCCAGTATTTCACAATAAAAAAGTGATTTTTTTTCTGCCTAGGATGAGGCTTATTAAACAAATGATAAAAAAACAATGAAGCGGGACTTCTGTAGCTGATTTCCAGCAATAAATTATTAATATGCAATGTTCGTCAATATTTGAATTAAGCTTTTTTTTCAACTAGGACAATTTTTAAACAACATGGTCACAAGTTTGAGCTATTATGTTTACAACACAAACACTATATTTGAAAGAATGTTTATACCTGATAAAACACAGCAAAAATAACATAAGGCAACACCTGTAACTAATGTTTTAAAGAACTGTCACACTTTTACTCACCAAAAAGAGCACTTGCCATGAACTTGCTGAAGAAATGCCCTGGAGTATTTAGTGACTTTTTACGCTCTATAAAATAGTGTGGGAGAGTCTAAAAACAACAGGTTGACAGAGAGACAGACAAACAGACAGAGAAAGGGGTGAGTGTCAATGACATTGTTATTTTGCTTTATTTCATGGGAAAAGGGTGGTTTTTCCCTTTCTCCTTCATTAGTACATGCTCTCCACAGCATTTTGCTGTTTATCAATCTAGATATGATAACATTAATTAGTCTATTCTCAACCAGCCCGTATTCACTTTTTTTTGACTTCCCCCCCTTAAGAATAAGATGTAAAATAGGATATTAGTCTTCTAATAAGTTTAGTGTGTCTGTCCAAGTCTGTAAGGAAATGATCTCTCTCTCTCTCTCTCTCTCTCTCTCTCTCTCTCTCTCCCTCCCTCCCTCCAGAGTCTCAAGGAGTATCTAATGACTTGGGAAAGAAATGCTTATGGAGAGAACAGAGTAATCCATCAACACATATACATGGGCTCATAATATCTATCCAAAACATTTTTGTTAATATACAGTAATGCAGTTATACATCAAGTCTGAGGTAGAATTCCAACCTTTTTTTAGAACTGTGGCAGGTCGATATATGTTTTGGTTGGAGATCCAGATCTAGCTTCTGGGCTGTAAACAACTGACTCTTACTATAAATGCTGGGGGAAGGGAAGGCAAGTCAATCTCAGGTCACAAAATGGTTGCCTGGGTTGATCATTTAAGAAAATCAATCAGAAATCTAGAGGTATTCTGATCAGGTATGAATCTTAGTTTTGGCCTATGTTTGTGTGTAATATTGATATTTTAATTATAGATCCTGAAACTGAACAAAAATAATAAACTCTACAGATTGTCTTTCTCCTTCATTAGTACATGGTCTTCATGACACTTTGCTGTTTATCAGTGTAGACATGGTAGAAATAAATAGTTAGGCAAAAAAGACTTGGGTCTGGCAACAAGAGATTGCGAACATCAAGCTTTAAAGAGCAGAGACACTACAAAAATCTATGGAAAACCATGAACACATACAAATAAACAGCACTAAGTTTAGTTCACATCCCAGTGAATAAGCATGATAATTAATTTAGGCATTACCCACTGAATTTAAACATATGGTTGGAAGCAATTGTAAACAAGGATTCTGAAAACAAATTTCCTTCTCATTCAAAAAGAATGTTGGGAAACCTTTAGATCATATTACCAGCACCTTCTATAAATTAATAAATAGCTCCAAACATAAATCCATGCAACTTTTCCTTAAAATAAATGCATAATTAGAAAACAAAAATCAGAAATTGGCCATACATACTCCTATTAGAGCCAAAGCTGGGGTGCTCCCAACAGCGAGACATGCCTGTTTCCACGAAAATTCCTGTAAAAAAAAAAAGTGACACCATGAAAATACACCCATTTGCTACACTGCAAAAAAGAGTGTTGCAATCTGCCACATATACTTACAATTTTTTCATCATTCTCCAATGGTCTTTTTATAGAATTTCTGTTTGCCAAACTGAATCCACCAATATATGTTTGAAAAACAAACTGCAAAATTTGAGAATTATAAATGCACAATATCACTTTGAGTTAATAAATTAATGTAAACAAATTAATAAAAGTGAATGGCTTGTCCCATACCTGCCGGCAAAACGATGACAAAAATGTTCTGTATGGTAAGGAAGCAATTGCAGCCTGTGAATAGAAGTTTATATGGGAAATACATCTGGATAAAATTGCAAAGATACATACCTGCATTAGCAAATCATTTTATAACTTAGTATCATCATATAGTTCCAGAAGCAAACATCCAGTTTTTTTCAGGACCAAATTTGCTACTGGTACCATGGGATACCATACGAGGTAACTGCTCCCAAGTCACTTCACTTCCAATCAATAGAATCTAAAGAAGCACCTGGAATCAATGAGTATCTTAAACATACCAAGTCTTTTATTGGTAGCACCACTTTACTCTGCCAGGCATATTACTTTACCACTGCCCTTAAAAGCATTCAAACAGTATTTTGCCCTCCATATTTTTGGGATAACATAAATTGAGCCATGGTTATGGCAACTCACACATCACAACAATCTTAATAAACCTGTGTTCATGCACAATAAAGAAGAAAGCAACTTTATCTATACCAGGGGTGTCAAACTCGCAGCCAGCAGGCCAGATACATCACATGCAGGCCAGGCCCAACCCAGCTCCACGAATGAGAAAAACGTTGTGAAATGTCACATGACAGCAACGTGACGTGGCGAGTTTGACACTCACGATCTATACACTCACGCAAAACAACGTATGTATTGACAGTGGGCCTGTAATGTTTTGGATGTACTTTAGAGTCCTTGGAGGCTAAATGTGCTTGTGTCCAATCTTGGCTACCTTTAAAAAATTCTTCAATATTTAGAGGTGAAAAGAAGCAATTCAACGTTTATACATGAAAATGTTTTAAAGTACATTCCCACTATGTACTAATGAATAATCTATCGAATGAAATAGTTTTGCCAACCCTCGGGTCCTTTTTTATCTCATCCCTTCTTTCATCTGAGTAGTTTATTTTATTTTCCCTCCCACCAAATTTTCTCGTTTATGTTTGTTGATTTCATGAGCCTCTCCCAGTCACCTGTTTTCTTCTCCTCTCCACCTATCAACATTTTGTGCTAAGTGATTATTGCTGGGCTGCTTAAGAGGAAACAGGATCTTTTTTTTCTCACTGCAACAACATCACAAAAAAGGCTTTAGGAGTTGTAAATATAATCTAATGCAGCTTCTCTTCTGGTAATACTGATTTGCAAACTAGGACATACACAACCTTTGCTAGACCAATACTTGAATACAGTTCCGCTCTCTGGAATCTGCACTGTATATCAGACATCAATACAATTGAGCGAGTCCAGAAGTATTTTACAAGAAGAGTACTACAATCCTCTGTTCGCAACAGAATACCCTATACCAGGGGTAGGGAAACTTGGCTCTTTGATCACTTATGGACTTCAATTCCCAGAATTCCTGAGTGAGCCATAAAAGATTCTCCATCCCTGGCCTATTCAAGTCAAAAATTGATTTCCCCCACAACTGAATAAAACAGTAGGCCAGGGATGCGGAACCTTTTCTGGCTCACTCAGGAATTCTGGGAGTTGAAGTCCCTAAGTGATAAAAGAACCAAGTTTCCCTACACCTGCCCTATACCACCAGACTTGAGACATAGTACATAAAATCATATTTTACAACGTCTTTCCAGTTAATGAATATTTCAGCTTTAACCGCAACAACAAAAGAGCACACAGCAGACATAAACTAAATGTAAACCACTCCAAATTTGATTGCAGGAAGTACGATTTCAGCAACAGAGTGGTCAATGTCTGATTCTGATTCTATCTGATTCTGTTGTCATATGTTCAAACCCCAACTCTTTTACCCTCAAACTAACGTCTGTTGACCTTACCCCATTCCTAAGAGGTTTGTAAGGGACATGTATAAGCACACAATTGTGCCTACCGTCCCTGTCCTATTGTCCTCAATTATTAGTTCCTACTTCATGTATTTAAACTTATGTTTATTCTTATTTCTATTATATTGTAAGCGTTTGTCAAAATAAATAAATAAATCTTTTTAAAAGAAATGTTGTGTCCCGTGAATTGAAGGTGACTCAGAAATTGCTAGTATTTCCCTCTTTTGTGTGGCCAATTTGGACTATATAGGTGCAAAGACCAGTTTGCTCTCCAGAAATTGTTGCCAATATGTTATCTCTGCATTGAACTGCGTGCAGATTATATTGACTAACTTGAGTCCAATTAAAAAATGGAACAATTAGTACAATGGTATCAAGATTTATATTTTTATTCTTTTTAAAACTCCAATACATATATTCTGAAAATTTTCATTGTTACTTACCAAGGAAGCAGAAATAAACACAAAACCTTTGAGAGAGAAAAAAAAAACTGTCCAGTTAGCACAGTCCATCTAAGAGAATGATAGAAATATAAAAATGTCAATGTATACAGTAATGATAAATTAGGCACTACAGTATGTAGGGAAAAAAATCATGAATTATGGAGCCTTGTGGATTTTGAGTTTTATACATCATTACTTTAGGAAATTACTGGTGCTAAATAAGCAATTGAAGTTTTAGAGGTTGTCAGTTATTTAAAATAAGGTAAAATTGTACTCTAGGAATTAATTGCTTCAATAATGCAACAGATTTTCAATTAATTTTCTCCACATTCCTACATGCTGGAAGCCCATCAAGACAAATATTGCTAAGCTAAGCTAAATTGACAATGAAGTCTTAAAATCATGGATTGGACTATTTTTTAATTATGATATTGTTAGGTAAAGGTTCCCCTCACACATACGTGCCAGTCATTTCCAGCTCTAGGGGCGGTGCTCATCTCCCTTACAAAGCCTAAGAGCCAGCGCTGTCCGAAGACATCTCCGTGGTCATGTGGGCGGCATGACTAAATGCCAAAAGCACACAGAACACTGTTACCTTCCCACCAAAGTGGTCCCTATTTTTATACTTGCATTTTTTACATGCTTTCGAACTGCTAGGTTGGCAGAAGCTGGGACAACTGATGGGAGCTCACTCCATTACGTGGTGCTAGGGATTCAAACCACTGAACTGCTGACCTTTCTGATCAACAAGCTCAGTGCCTTAGCCATTGAGCCACCACAACTGTTGTTAATGTATAATAGCAATAGCACTTAGACTTATATACCGCTTTATCGTGCTTTATAGCCCTCTCAAAGCGGTTTACAGAGTCAGCATATTGTCCCCAGCAATTTGGGTCCTCATTTTATCCACCTTGGAAGGATGGAAGGCTGAGTCAACCTGGAGCCTGGTGGGATTTGAACTGCCAAATTGTAGGCAGCTGGCTGCGGAAGTAGTTTGCAGTACTGCACTCTAACCACTGCGCCACAGAGGCTCCTTCATTATATCAATATAATGATATTGTTAATGTATAATGATTATGCCACTTAAGAAGACATGGTTATTTACTTTAGGTATCTTGTTAAACCGTGCTTTCTTCAACTACAATCTATTAAATAAACTGCAACCACCAGAGTTGACACAATAAGTTAAGCCAACTACAATGGCTGATTGCATTTAACACACTAAGCCCTAATTAAACAAACTACATTAAAATTTCGCATGATTTATAATATTGGACTGTATCGGTTGGAATATATTTGCTTCACATACTTATCAAGTCACAATCACCAATAAAAAATAAATGTATAAATTAATACTGAGATCATATTCTAACGTGCATTCCAGGAATACAAGAAAATAAATGCAAGCTATGGATAATCTCCATTAATAACAGTAATAATGACCTTTATACTACAATTGATTTTCCTTCCTGTTATTCATCAGTTTATCAGTACTAATAGCAATATGAAGAAGTGATTAAGATGGTGGGCTATAAATGGGAAGACCTAGATTGAAATCCATCATCAATCATAAGAGTTCCAAAGCTACTGCTGGACCCTTCATTTCTCTCTCATCCCCATCCACTGCACAGGGTGGTGGTTAAGGAATAAAATAGGAAGGAGCTTATATACAGTTCCCTGAGTTTCTGAATGGAAAGTGGGTGATCAAACAAGTAAACAATTACCATAAATGTACATGCATAACTGCATTCCCACTCACACTAGTAATACTACTACTAAATTTGCAGATGATACAACTGTGGTGGGACTCATTTGCGGGAGTGTGTGTGGATGAGTCTGCCTATTGAGATGAAGTAGACCAGTTGCTTTTGTGGTGTGGAGACAATAACTTGGTCCTTAACACCAGTAAGACCAAGGAGCTTATAGTGGACTACAGAAAGAATAGATCAGGCATCCAGCCCTTGCTTATCAATGGAGACCGAGCAGAGCAAGTGGCCAGTTTTAAGTTTCTGGGTGTTACCCTAAAAGAGGACCTGACCTGGAATGCCCACATTGCAGCCCTGGTCAAAAGGGCCCAACAGAGATTATACTACCTGAGACTTGTCAGGAAACAACTGAATGAAAATCTTCTAATGACCTTCTACCGCTGCACCATAGAGAGTATTTTAACTTACTGCACCTGTGTATGGTTTGCCAGTTATACAATAGCAGATAGGACAGCACTCCAGAGGGTTAAAGTCATTGCCCAGAGGATCATTGGTTGCCCTCTTACCTCTTCGGAAGAGCTTTATAGCTCCTGCTGCCTTAAGAATGTTCAAAACATTCTCAAAGATCCATCTCATCCTGGGAACCCTTTTTTTTAAACTATTACCATCTGGCAGAGAGTACAGGATAATAAAAACAAGGACAAATAGATGAAAACAGTTACTATCCCAAGGCAGTAACTATCATTCTACTGTATAGTGCAATATTAATGCAATATCGGGTTTTCAATTCAATTGTATAGAATGTGAAGGATGTGTGTTTGTGTTTTATTTTTATAGTTATAATGTACACTGAAGATGACATTTAATTTCATTGTATAAGGTACAAAGACAATAAAATAAACTAAAAATTAAACTGAAAACCTGAGTTCAAATTGCAATACACTGAGATTTGAAGCTGACCTCCTCCTCTAAAGAAGAATGGAATTGTATCACCAGTGCTGGAATTCACGCAGCTCTGAGAAAAGAAAAATATGGTACATACATAATCCCAAAAGATTAAGAGACATCTCTACTAAAAGATGAAAATAACATGTTAAAATAATTCTTAAATGTAATATGAAAACTCACCAAACTTATTTTCCAGGCATCTCTGATCTAAAATATTGGAAAGCAGAATTTTAGAAATAGGTCAGAGACTATTTTATAGCTGAATATGTATTGTGGAATGGCTTAGCTTTTCAAGAACCATTGATGGGCTTATTTAAACTGTTTTGGATTTTTTTTGTCCATCGATAATACTTTCCCACATAATTTGCCGTATCTTAATCCATATCCTACTTCACTTTTTTTTAATCTGACAGCTTCATTCAAGTTGTATTTCAAATCATCTAAAGAAATTGTGACATTTAAATCATAGGAGATATATACACACACACACACACACACACACACACACACACACGATACATAGAAGTAATAAGGTTCTATAAGTTCACAACTAATTAAAATTGGCTTAGCATGAATGAATTCTGGGTTGGTACTCAAAGTTTATTCACTTCATTTGTTAATGTGTTTAGATAAGTGTCTTGTGTTTTAAACCTAAGATTCTTATTTGTTGGTCCCTAAAAACTAAGAGCAAGCTAAAATATATTAGCTGACCCAACTTATAAATACAACACAATCTAAAGAAAATTATTTGAAGATTTGCTGATCCACTTATATAAGAAATAAATAAGCCTACATTAGCCACCATTGCTGACTTGCTGTGATGTGTCATTACAGTCACTCTCTTTTATGGCATCCTTTTAAAACTAATTAAAAACCTTTTATTTATTTATTAAATTTTATGCCACCCACCTCCCCTACAAGGTGGTTCTGTCAGTATTATGACTCCCCTAAACTTTACATACTTCTATTTCCTTTTCAGCTCTATTTGATGATTAGACATTAGAATACACTTATTCATACATATGAACTTCTGAGTGGAAACAGATCAGAATCTATAGAACAGGGGTTACCAACAGCTGGGCCGTGTATCGATACCGATCTATGACTATTAGGAACAGGGCCAGGAAAGCAAATGAAGCTTCATCTGTGCACGTGCAGGATCTAGATAGCACGCAAACTCTCCCTCACTACCCCAGTCTATGAAAAAATTGTTTTCCACAAAATCAGTCCCTGGTGTCAAAAAGATTGGAGATAACAGTAGAAATTCTATTCATGATATTCCTGTTGAAAAAGTGAACTAGGTCCCGTTGTCCACACTTGGAGAGACTGTACACCACTGAGATACATGGTTATACAGAACTGCTATATACAAATACTGCTCACATTAATAGGCTTATTTTCAGATCACAATGTTCAAAGTGTGGCTTGGGACAGGGGTAATTACTGATGTCATAGCAGAAATGTTTTCAACAGCATCAACACATGACAACTCTACAGACAGTATTACATGAACAAAGCCGGTGTTTAGCTTCACTTGGGGAGAGCTAGGGTCAAAATGAAGGCAGTTACGAAGTCAGTTCCTCTCTCCGTGCCTCAAGTTTCAGCCTAGGTATCAGGGCACAGCAACAAGAAACCTAATCATTTTTTCACACTAGAATAATATACAAATATGTTCAAAAACATCACTGTACCTTTTCATCTTGTGAAGACATTACATTTTCTCCACTATTCAGTAAAAGATCTCTCGATGCATTAATGTCCGCCTGTATTTACAAGAAAAATGGAAATAAACTGGGTTTTTTTCCCCTATAAATAAACATCTCTTTTCTTGCAATCTTATCATTTTTTCCTACAGAGTGTTTTGCGACACAAAATACAACCAACCAGAATTGGCATGGTTCTTCCCTACTCCACTCTCATAGATTAAGTGGATGGTGAAAGGACAAACTCAGAACAGCTTCCAGGACATAAATAAATCCAAAATAAAGCATCAGGGGAAGGCTTGTCTGAACTGCTGCTCCAATTCGATCTGCAAGACTTTTCAAGGGGAGGAAGCATGTCAGGAGTCCAGACCAGTAATTTACCACAGCATATTCATTCCAGTCCCAAACCATTTATGTATTTATATTTCTTAAATATATTGACTATTAATTGAACAGCCTTATTTCTTTCCCATTGGTGGTTAGATACCAATATATATAGAAAAAGCTGAATTACCTGTATCTTTTGACCGATAAGTGCAAGGACCTCAAAGCTTAAAAGCAATCAGAATTGCTCTTTTTGGTGACAGCCTGAATTTGGTGCAATGCAGTGGTTCGCTCTATGTGTATCCTAGGCCAACTCACATGGGTTAATTCTTTCTTTCACATATTTATTATTACACGTCATAACACTTTGAAATTAATGTTTTTCTTTAAAATAATATTAGTCTGACTGAAAACTTCTGGAAAAATAATAAGCAGGTTACATTAACTATTATTTTTATGCAAGCTGCCTGATTTTATTCTTCCATCTGCATGGCCCTTGTGGTTGCATTTTATATGTTGTCTGAGAAAATGTTAAGCATTATTAAGGTTCTTTGTTGTAAAGATGCAGTCTGAAACTGTGGCTTGTTCTTCACTTATTTGATCTAGCTTTGGTTTAGTATGATATCCAGTCTCAAATTAATGGTTAATTTACGGCTCTTCTTGTTCCAGGGAAATAAAACAGGTTACAGGAATGGCTAGGAATTGTTTCAGTAGCTATATTTCACCACACCACTTTCAAAATTTATTCTGCCATTTATCTAGGCATGCAAGGATTTCTTTATTTAAAAAAAAAGGCTTAGAAAAAATTCATTTTCCCACATCCTTTATATAGTAGATCTGATGCCGAATAAAATATTAATTGCCTTGATTTGAGTTCGGAGAAAAAACAATCTAACAGACAAGGTAATACTGCTCAGTTAGCTACTTCAAAATAGCTAAGAAGAAAGGAGGCAGCATCTAGGGCAGGTGTCAAACTCATGGCCCGCAGGCCTGATGCCTCACGTGCTGCCCCTGCCCAGTTTAGCGAAGGGGGAAAAAAAGTCCCAATATGTCACATGACAACACAAATTTGACACCCCTGATTTAGAGGTAATCGTCAATCTGAGTTCATAATTGGGACTTGCACTCTTATCAGTAAACTCTGACTTCAATTTACATTTTACTTCCTCGTTCACCGTTAACTTGCTTATTGTAAGTCAGTTGGGAAACACACAAATGTGACTGTGAGATGCTGTGATGGTCATAAATGCAAAGACTGATCACAATGCTGTCATTTATTCAATTTCTATAGCCAGCTATCTCAATCTAATTAACTCTTTTTTTAGCATGATTTCAAATGGTTGCTAAATAAAGCAATCAGTATTCAAGAGAGTATCTGTAAATTTTTAATAAGTCAATTTACTAATTTGGTAAGTTGTATGTAAACACACTCACAGAAATGCTTCCTAGCTTACTTTCAAGTTTTAATATCCAAAGCTTAAATACATAGGTAGGTTCCTTACCTCACGTGTAAATATGACTAAGGGGTCCAAGATTTCTACCCAGTGCTTCCACCTTTCGTAAAATGTCTAAAGAAAGAGATTTAAAAGATACCTGAGCTTGAATATATTTTTTAAGTGATTCTGAAATTAGTCAAAATTGGCCAACATCCACACATCAAAGCCAAAGCTGCTCTCCATTACACTGAACCTGTATTTTTTTTTTATTAAACAAGATATACTCAGCACAGTCAAGTCACCCATCAAAAGCATACGCCACAGCCCTCTGAAACTTTATGCTTGATGTTTCTTGTATGTGATTCATGGAAACTCAGTAACTCAAATAAAGGATCACATTATTGTCAAGAAAATTCAACTGGGGGACGGGTGTATTTTGGCGTAAAGGTTGATATATGTGAGGAAAGATGGAGCTAAAATATTCTGTCATCACCTGTTTTGCAAGCATGGAAAATAGGTTGTTTTTAATGGAAACATTAAACTTACCACCTTTTACTATAGTATTACTTGCAAAAACAAGTTCATATAAAAGTCATTTCTATTAAGCCACACCTGTTCTACTTACTGAAAATCAACTGGGCAAAAAGCAGAACCCCAAATGTTGGGACTGTCATCTAGGGTAACCCAGAGCTTAGAATACAATTATCTCTCAGAGTTGAAGGAATTTCTTTCTCCCCTTGCATTGATAGTGGGCAACACACACTCTGAGTACATTTCAGGATTCCTAGTACAACCAAAAGGGATATTCTGTTTTCTCACCCTTTAATGCATGCTGTATAGGTTTCACTTCAGAGCAAATATTATTTACAGCAGAGGCCAAGAACTCTGCAAAGCAATTTAAAATAAACGGTATGGCTCTCAGGACCAAATTTTCAGATACAATCAAAGAGTATCCCTTTTCTTTAGGGCAATGAGATTATGCCCACTGAAAAAAGATAGAACAATTAAAAGGCTTTGTGGCTATAAAATGCCATTTAATCCAGATATGCAAGGCGTGATACTATATCCATTAAAAAGCATGTAAGCTCCCTTTAAATCAGTAAAGCTTACTTCCGACTAGACTTTAGGAAAGAACAAGTTTAATATCTCCAGCATGCCCTCATTTATTAAACTATGTTTTTATCACACCGGATTTAACAATTGCTGAGTGTCCTGGAATGGGAATGTCACACTTCTTGCTTTGCTGCTTTTCCTTCGTTTTAAAACGTTTGCTTGTGTATTTGGCCGGATCGAAAAAATAACTCCTTCCACCCCACCCGCCAATTTTTCCCGTATCTCAATTTCCACATGTCCTGGGTTTCCAGGCGAGGGCTAAGCCATTTAGTCCTCCGATCGCCCTTTACCCCCGACCTAGCCAAAAGCAAAACCTTCTCTTCCCCACCACCCACAATTCCCGCCCGGCTCATCTTTTTACTTCCAGGGCTGCACTAGAAAGTTGATCTCCGCCCCTTTGCGATAGCAGCGCCAGGCTTTTTATAGTGAACCGTACTTGACCCTCGTTTCTCCAAAACTGCAAATTCAAATCCATGATGCTCGGATGGCCACGCCGGAAAGCGGCTGGTTCCGGGAAACGTCTGCAAAAGTCACCCACCCGTGGAGGTCTTTTTGCGATTGCGGGATCCGTCCCGCCCTCGCCTTTGACGTCATTCATGCTCACCGCTGCTCGTTTGTTTTCGGGCGCCGATTCGATTTTAGAAGGGCTCTTCAAACATCTCCCATTTTCACCCGAAAAACTAGAATCCCCGTGGAAGGATTCGCCCCATTTTCTGGAAAAAGGGGGAATGGCAGGTACAGAGTCGCAAGATGTGGGGGAGAGAAGAGCGACAGTCTTCCCTAGCTTCAAGGCTAAGAATAAATCTAGGATCACCCCAACACATGATTGCTTTTGCGTTTAGTTTTTTTTTCAAATTAAACAATTACAGTCATTATCAAGGCTGCAGTTGGCCTGTCAATGAACGGATAGGGAGTTTTTAATCCTTGGGGACTAGGCAACTGATCTAATGCACGCGTTGTGTGAATCTGGCACGTGTGCGATGCGAAACCAACGTTTCTGGCTCGGATCAAACTGCGCGCTTACTGGCTCATAGCGCGGATCGTGCAGTACGTTTGCATCGCGCTGACCACGACGTGGGTAACCCGCTGGCGTCAATTCCCGCAATATATTGAATTAGAAACGAATCAAAGGGTTGGGTTTCCAGAGTTTTACTCTAGCCAGGACTGTTGTGCCACCCCAGTCGAGAGGCAATTAAAAAAAAAACCTCTTGCTTTGAAAATGAAAGAATCTCTCATTTTTACAAACTGAATAATAAATAAAGCGTATATGAAACATACTGTATCTGGACATTTTGTACTGAGCTAATTGTTTCAGTCAAATCACTTTCTCAATATCACCCAGATACAAATAGCATTCTCATAGTTCAATCTCTTACCATCTTTGTTAAAATTTGTATACTGCCAAATGACCAGATTTACGTTTTGGGTGATTTGGCCAGAAAATCAAATCAAAATAAAACAGAACATAAGACTCACTTATGTTCTATTTTGCATACCTAGAGTATACTGATGGGAATATAATAATGATCTTTCTACCAAAAATATACAAAAAGTCCCACCCATGCTATATTCTGGAGAAGGTCATCTTTCAGAATGAGAAATGTCACAGTTCTTCCTCCATTATATTCAATGACAGGAAATGGCTTGTGCAGCTTCTCGGCTATTCAGAAATAGATTACATCAGGTCAAATGAATATTAATAATAAATCTGTATACTGAATAGGGGTACTATATAATCTTTCCAAAAATTTTCTTGTGCAGCATTGATGACACAGAAACTTTTTCAAGGGTATAGCCAAGTAATTCAGTCAAGGATTAAACAGAAGCATGAAAAGGAATGTACGTTATTGTGCACATAAGCACTATCCCAGCTAATGAGTGCCAAAACAGATATGACCAAACATGTAATTTTATCTATTCCTCTTTTAAGATGCCCATGTGCTCAAAAGGCTTATAACTCAGTCCTCATTAACCTAGTAATCATCCAGAAAAAAATATATCTGGCTTTCCAACAGAATGACCACCTCTTCAGCCCTATAACTATAGACCCTTTCATTAGTGCCTACCAGATTTCATGCCTTTGTTTAAAAAAATTGTTTCAATCTTGAAAAAATTGGAGGGGGGGGGGAAGAGTGTAACAAAATTAAAAACTAGAATGTTGCAGAGCAAGACTAGGTTCAAATATAATTTCCAAGAATCCTTTTAAATCCCAGAACTATTCAAATACTCATTTTCTGAGGAAAAAATTACTGCTGTGCAATGGGCCTGTTTAACAAATAACAGAATAACAAAATTGGAAGGGACCTTGCAGGTCTTTTAGTCCAACCTCCTGCTCAAGCAAGAAACCTTATACCAGGGGTGTCAAGCTCACGGCCCGCAGGCCGGACTGATGCGTCATGTGCTGGCTCTGCCCCTGCCTGGTTTAGTGAAGAGGAAAAAAGTCCCAATACGTCTTGTAACGACGATGTGACGCAAATTTGACAGCCCTGCCTTATACCATGCAATGGGCCATAGTGGTACAGTCGTTAGAGTGAAGTACTGCAGGCTACTTCTGCTGACTGCCAGCTGCCTGCAATTTGGCATTTCAAATCTCAACAGGCTGAAAGTTAACTCAGTCTTCCATCCTTTTCCAAGGTCAGTAAAATGAGGACCCAGACTGTTGGGGGCAATATGCTGACTCTCCAAACCGCTTAGAGAGGGCTGTAAAGCCCTGTGAAGCAGTATATAAGTCTAAGTGCTATTCCTATTTTAGACAAATGGCTGTCCAATCTCTTCTTTAAAAGAGGATCCACAACTTCTGGAGGCAAATCGTTCCACAGATTAATTGTTCTAACTGCCAGGGAATTTCTCCTTAGTTTTCAGAGAGTTGTTGGGGTGGGAATAAAATAGAAGAGATACTTGCTTAAACTAACCTGACCTCCCAAAAAAAAATGGAATTTAAATGTAAATTTGGTTACATTTATTTGTAACCATTTATCTGGTTACAAATAAATGTAACCAAATGAATCAGGGATAGCAATAGCACTTAGACTTATATACTGCTTTACCGCTTTATATCCCTCTCTAAATGGTTTAGTCAGCCTATTGGCCCGGGTCCTCACTTTACACCTCGGAAGGATGGAAAGCTGAGTCAACTTTGAGCCGGTGAGAAGTAGCCTGCAGTACTGCACTTTGACCACTACCTCACTATGGCTCATTATATAATTATAAACATGTGAGTTGCAGAAGATTGCATAGAAATTCCAATGATCATAAACAAGTATTTTGAGATGGCATTGATATTTAGCCCCCTTTGTTTATTTGATGCTAATACTGATATACTGTAATTAGCTTCATTTCTGTGGCTGCAACATCTTGAATTGCTGTCTGCATAAAGCACGGCAGCTATTCATAAAAGACCAGTGGTGCAACACCTGTTGAAACAAATAGTGCTTCCATGCATTCCCACAAATGATTACTAGGAATATCCTGATAGTACAAGAAAGCATTGAGCATTGAGGCAGGAGAAGGCAAATTGAAAATATATTGGTGGGATAAATGAGACTACAAATAATCTTGAAAGCAAAATACAAAGTTTTCTTTTTGGAGTTCTTTCAATTCATAGTTATGCATTTAATTGTGATTTTAAAAAATCTTGTTCAAAAATAAGTTCTTTCATTTTTCACAATAAATTCTCTATATAATTAATATTCCATCAGTATAGTCTTGAATATCTATACCCAAAGTATTACTAAATATTCAAAGCAACGTTTCCAAAATGTGTGAAACTTTAGTGTTGGTATTAATAACAGACTTTGGTTTGCAGCTTCATTTTGAATTTATCAAATAATAGCATAAATTCTTCATTTACTCTTCCTAAATTTTTTATTTTTTCATTCCAGTATTCCAAAATATTTAATAGCCTCTTTTTTATGCTGAATAATCATGATTATTTCATTATTAGATCACAAAGATAATTCCCAAAGAGACATCTGTGTTGGTTGTTTCTCAAGGGAGTTAAAAAAAGGAACCATGAAGATTCATGCTATGAATGCAACTAATTTACTCAATGTGCGTGAATTGTGTTACAGTTTCATTGTTTACAAAGATAGGAAACCTGAATATACTACAAACTAAAAAGCATCACTATTTTTCCACACTAAATACAAAATGCAGATATTTTTACTTCAAAATGAATGATTTTTAAATGAGAATTATTTTCTAGTATTTTGTGTAGGAAATATGTGCTTTTAAACTAATTTGGGATTAAATTAATTTGCCTATGGGGGAGAGCCAAAGCCCTGTGAACATTTAGACATTCATCATAGCAAAGTAGAAAATATTCTGTGGTTTTCATTATCATCATGGCTAGTCTCACAGGATGATTGATTTTGGCTTCAGGAAATAGATTCAACCATTAATCCCGTACTGCTCATCATTTTATTTATTTACTTTTGAAAAATATTCTTTTGAATCTTCTGGGTTTGGCTTAATCTGCAAAATAAAAGTTACAAAATAAGTATTGAATTATGCATTTGATCAAGGCAATTAATTAAATGCTGTACAGTGTCCCTATGCACATAAATACCAAACGTCCCTTTATTATCTTTTACAAGATAGTAAGGAACTTAAAAGCATACCTACTTCCAATTCAGTCGGCAAATGTTCAAATTTTTCAATGATAGTGAACAAGTACAGTACTTATAATTCATTCTTGGGATCTACAGCCGTCAGTGTCCCCTGTGGTCATTTTTTTTTTTTTTGAAAAATGTATTTGGGTTTTCACAAAGTAAAAAACATAATACAAATAAAACATCTTTTTTTGAAAATAGCACGGCCCGGGTTATCACTTCTTCATACAGACACAAACTTAATTTCATGCTCACTTTTGTGTTCTATTCCATATCTTATTCCTGTTTTACATTCTATACATAGTTTTTCCCCTCTTTTAATTTTCCCAACTTTATTTTGATTATCTCATCTCAATTCAAATCATTATATTATACTTTTGTCTGTCCTGTTTCAATTTCATATTATCTTATCTCATTAAACAAATTTTCCCCTGTAGTTACTAATTGGAGTATGACACCTTTATATCGTTTAATTTTATCCATTCAACTCTTATTTAAGCTTCAATGTATACCTTTAAGATTATAACATTCAATATAATACATAACTTCCAATCAAATTCTGCTTGGTACATTCTTAAAATACACACTATATTCCTAAAAAAAGATATATATATATATATATAAATATAGCACTCGTTCCATTCCAATTCAATTCAATTATTAATATTCATTAAAATCTTAACATCTTCATTGATAATTGATAAAATGTTCCCATCCTTTCCTAGTTT